TAATGCGACTGGCTTGATAGTTTTTGATTTCTTTGTTGTGAAGCGTTATTTGTTTACTCGGCATTGTTGTGGAACACAACAATGCCGAGTAAACAAATAACGCCCTGTGTGTGAGCAGTGTAAGGATGTGGATCAGAAGTTGAGCTTCGTGTGGAAGTCTGTAACGGTCCAAATTACATCTTCTGCTGAGGTAATTTGATCCTACCATTTAGTTCTTTTATTATTTTATTAGGCTGAATTTCTTTTTACTTTTCGTTTCAAAATTCTAACTTGTTGTTGTGTTTCGAGGGTAATACTGGGATGTTTACTTCTAGTTCATGGCATATACCTAACTGTTTACGACAAAGACATCCGAGGACCTTCGGTTCACATGAGTCTTGTGATTTTACACCAGGACAATAAACTGTCGTGAATTGGTTGTAATTCCAAGTGTCATACTTCAACATTTATGGCGGAAATATGTAGAAAGTTAGTTTAGACTCTGTGGTTCATTGTCACTCAGCAGATAATGTTGCTGGACCTTACGCATTAAATAGGTTGAGGGGGAACTCTTCAACAAACTTTCGAGGTAGCCGCCCGCAAACCCAATACAAGTCTGAGATCATCGTCTTGTGGCTAAAGCCAAGTTTTATCATCTGCACATCTTTATTTATTCTTAAATAATTAAATTGTGTATAAATAAAGTATTATATTCAGCGATAAAGGAAGCTTCTAGTTGTCGGGAGTTACATGCCATTAACACCCCTGAAATGAGTCAAGTGATTACCAGGGAGCGAAGCTATAACGTAGAAAAACTTATTTAACAAGAACAGAAGGGGAAAAAAAGACGAACATTTGCAAGGGTGGAGTTGGTCGTAGAAAGTTGACTTACCAAGAACAGCGTGGTAAAGAAGTGAAATATCAGATTAGAGAATGCGCTCCGAAAGGAGCGCGTTCCTCTGGTCCATTCAAAATCTTATAAAACTAAAGTATTCAAGAAAAGAAAGTGTTTTATAACTGAATAATGGAGATACCAAAATTCTTATTTTGGTTGGTAAGATCAATAAATATATATATATATATTCCTGAAATAAATTATGTGGTTTCAACATTCCTCGGCTTACATTCGACTGGAACATTGCCTATTTATACGGATTGGTGTGCTGTTAATTAACAGGTTGTTTTGCAGAATAACCTCCATTAGCTCTGTTGTTGACGACCGTGTCCCATTTTCATTTCGGAGGAATCTTCCATTTTGGGCCCAACAAAAATCATCATAATCACTGCATCAGATTATGAAGAGTTATTAATAGGGTCATATTTTACCGCGTGTCAGACCATCGATAAAGCGAGAAGTGAATGCAGATAAGAGAGTAATGAAATTAAATTACATTTGAACAGAGTTAATTTACAAATACAAGTTAGTGTGAGACTAATAGCCATTTTGACACCTGGTTTAATGGTGATAGGGCAGTTTACAACAGCGGCAATGCTTTGAATTTTACTCAAGAGCATCCTTTTTATGTTATGAATAAATAAAATTACAAGTTCCTTAAAATCTTAGGCTATCTTACACCTGGACACGTGATATTTCTTCAAACACTTTAGATAACTAAAAAAATGTCTGAATTGAAAATTGTTGACGTTTCATGTCGTGTAAAAATTTACAGAAAGTTCGTCGTGAGTGTTTCGTAAAGTAGACTGTATGTGTCCGTAATTGACCAAAACTGAATTCGCCAGACATTTATAACAGCAAATTTAATTTTAAAAACCCATTTCTTCAAACGCGGTCCTTTTATGAAACAGTTCCATGAAAAACATAAAATTATGGGTTGGACAGCTTACTAAGAACAAGTTTCGATGTAAATTCCTGAACAACAAATCCGTTCCTGTTATAACGAATATGATCACATGTAAACGCGCGTTTTTGTAGTGTGAACTGAAGCCCTCGCTGACATTTCGGAAGTCTGTAAGGGTATAACACCCGGTAGTCTGAATCAGGAGAGCCGGTCTGCGGTCCAGGACACGTCCTCTAAAAAGAAGCGTGATTTATGTCCTCTTAACAGCGACGCTCGTTTGAAACTTAAACACAGGGAGTCATAAAAGGGTTGCATAAGAGGTAGTGCCTTATTTCGGCGTGTCCAGAGGCGGCGTCACGGCATTTTCCCCCTCCCCCCAGAAAAGTTTCAAAGTTGAAATCACCGAATATAGACGATGAACGTCAAACACCATTCTGTTGCTCGAAGGTCACAATTAAATTCTGGCATGACGAGGAAATTACTGCCTCATCACAATAGCGACTCCGTTGCGGCTGATTTCAGCTTTGCCTGAGAAATAAACCCAATGATTATCAGATTTAAAATGACCATAATTCCTCCAGTGCGTCTCACTTAAAGCATCGTCGGTCGGGTCGCTCGACAAAACAAAATCCTCATCGGCTTTTAATCTCGTTTTGGTGATCATGTGGTCCATAGTGCAGTGAGGCCACTCTCTCTTCTGCCCCGCGGTGTTGGAACCAAGCCATACGGGCCGTGTCTTCAACTTATCGACACCAGGTCGGAAAAGGAGTCAGTCGCCTTTCGCCCTGGCTCGATACTGATCCCGCCGCTGTCCAACATCAGATGCAATGTCCCAACTAACTAGGGACGTGGACGTTGACGCCAATGTTTCGTCGCGGTCCTGAGGAATTAACCTGCACTATTAACACATGGCGAACTAAGCTGCTTTTCAGATTATCCGAGGCACCTCAGTAAACCCCTTACTCTCGTTTGTTATCTGGGGTTTTCACCAAATCTTCAAGTGAGTTACTCAGCTTAACAGGATGGACCACGTGAAGGTGAGAGTCAGAGTTGAAGTCATTGGCCAGTGTATTTCTCTGACCCTTGTCTGGCATTAAACGGATACATTATTTTATGCTCTCAGTAATGGAATCATTTGTTTTAATCACGTGATACAAGGACAAAGGAAGGAGAGGTTCAATGCAAGAACGCCAACAGATCCACACACCGACCACCGAAGCTGGCCACTTGCGAAGTAATGAAGACGGCAGCGTGGCTTTAAGTTTCGGGTAGATTCAGTACAAATGCACTCAAGGTTAATGATTAATACTTTCTCTTGTTACAAAACACTACGGATGTAGACTGGGAAGTCAATAAACATTCCTGGTGAAATGTAGAAGTAATCACTAGTACCAGGAGAAGGCGATGAAGATGAGTCTTCAGCCCGGATTCTGACTGGAATACTGTAGGAGGGAATAATGAATTCGAAGCGACTACAGTACTGCGGTGCATAAGGTAAGTATTTAAACCAACGCACTACAATTCCCGAGGAAAATCACATCTACTTCACATTAATCATGGCCCCGAGTTACGGAAGAACCGGGATCCAAAGTGCGGCTGATCCATCAAGCAGGGGATCGTGGAAAGTTAAGTGATGTGATCGCCAACCTTCGCTAGCGGAGAAGGCACTTCGAGATAAAATTTGTGCATATTCAAGATGTGAAAATCATAAGAAACTAGGACAGTTTAAAAGTTGTTTTTAATATGGTTGGGAGGAAAAAGGTCTGAAGTGACGTAATGAAGAAGCTGAAATTTTCTACATTCCTCCCCCATCTCTAAAGAAATTAAATTCAGTTTTGTCTGGGAACTTTCATTCTGTTCGACGAAGCACTAGAAATAGAAAACAATATTGGCCATTTGAATACGTTATTTCTCTAACGTCAATTAAATATATGTAGGTATATTAAGACTGTATTTCATGTCGTTTAATTAATAAACACGTAACACATGGTTGTGAACTTTTATTTCGAAACGTGTTGTATTGACGCGTATTTAAATAATCGAGGTTAGTTACCAGGGCACGCCTGCAAATTATTTTCTAGTGAACTTAGTTTTCTTTTTTTCCTTCCAGTAATTAAGTGAAGTAAAAATGGCTCGCTTACACACAGCAAAAGCGGAATGGATAAGCAAATATTCATTAGCGGCTTTCCTCTGCCCTGAGACCTGCTAATATGACGAATCTCTTCGTGGTTTTTCCCAGGCTATAGAAGCAAAGTCCGGCGTTGTTAAATAAATAATCACTTATTAATCAGAATATTCACTAGTTCGCCTCCAATGAGAAGGCTTCGTTCGAAACATTAATCAGGTGTGAATTAGACTGGACAGAGTTCATTGACCAGCTCTTATAAAAACAAAATGTGTCTTCATGTCTCACGGCATGCAGGATGCTCCCGACCAACTCAGCGACTAGCAGTGTCTCACATGTGACTTTATCTCATAGCATTATTTACTTAAATTTAAAAGAAATGTGTATACTCCTTGTTTAAAAAGTTATTGTTATTTATAAAAGCGAAATACACTCTCTTTAGCATGAGAAGACTAATATTCAGAATATTTCGTTAAAGCTGTTATATATGTACAAATCAAGGCTTAAAATCTTTGTTTTACAATGTAAGGTAGTATATTTGAGTCATATTGTGACTTAGGTTAATATTTTAATATTTTCCGTCAAATCACAATTTTAATAAGATAATAAAATATAAAATATTTAAAATATCACTTCACGTTCCGCATCGAATGATCGATTTACAAATTGGAACGTCTCTTACGACATGTTTCGGTTATATTTAACCGTCCTCAGGTATAAATTAGATTGGTAAAATTTAAAACTCGAATTACAATCATTTACAATGTTATGCAGTTTGTTGAAAATGTTCTTATCAGATTACTCTTATATATTAGAACGAAGGTATTGTTTTTTATATACCTTCGTTCTAATATATAAGAGTAATCTGATAAGAACTTTTTACCAATTTCGTATTCCCACGATTTTCGAATCCTCTTCAGCCTCATCTCTACATCTCTTACGTGGTCTATCGCAAATTCCTTCTTCCTTTATGTCCACGTCATCTGTCAGAGGTTTTATAAATTTCACAATATATGATATCCTCTATCTCCTTATGAGTTTTTTTCCAGGTTTCTCCATCTTTTATGGGACCACGGATTTTTCTAATCTTCCTCCTTTCAAATATTCTAAGGGCCTTAATTTCTTCTGAAGTCACTGTCCAAGAACACCAGGATTTCGATTGTCTAAATTCGATATTAATCTGCAGTCTTTTAACAAAATGGACTCGGGCGGGAATAAATGATGTGTTGTGTTAACCACGTCTTGGTTAATGACACTTTCTAGTGCTGTATTGTCCAGGTACCACGCAGTTATAAGGCGTAAAGTCTTCTTTCATGCCCGGCTTATGATCTGTTAAGCTGATTCTGTATTTGATTCTACCTCGGAAACATGCTCTGAGTTCCCCGTTTGATTAGGGCTGTCAGATGTTTCCATTACTCTGTATGTATCTTAACTAAATTCGAGTTCCTAGTTTTGTGTATTTTGTGGTAATATTATGTATTTATTCATTAAAATACTTAAAAGTACCGTACAAAATACCGTGAATAAATAAATAATCTGTTAACTGGAAGCATCGTCTGTTTCTTCACGGCATTTGTATTGTAAAGGTTGGTTCTTCCTCAGGCACATGGCACAATTACGCGGTATGTCGGGGCAACTCAGCCAAACGTACATTTGCAACTTTTTTTTAAATATCACACGTAGATCAGAAATTGATACAAAATTCTCAGTGTGTTGCCTTAATAATGACGTTTTTATAAACGATGTTCATGAATCTTCCCCTAATACCATGAAGACGGTTTCGTAACTCGAAACATGTCGCCACAAGTGGATTCATTTAATACAATACGTAAGGTGAAACTGTTGTGTATTGATGGATGGTAATATTTTAGATAAAATTAGACGTCTGTAAAATAATTAATTTTAATAAGACTTCTTGAACAGAAAATAACGAGAAGAAATAAATTTCCCTTCTTCCCTGCAAACAATATTTCTTTATGTAGCTCCTACATCAATTCCTAGTTTTCTACATAATTTTCGCAAGGAAAGTAATTAAAATTAATGTGTTCGTCGTGGTTGTAATCAACTGCAAACTGCTGATTTTCCCAATCTAACATTTATTTTACTTTTCTCCTCCTTTTCTTTACGATTCTCTTGTCTCTGTGCTTGTAGGCGTAATCGCTTGCATTCGGTAGGTTCTCGATGACACAAGTCGAAATTCCGTATCTATAAACATTCAAGTCTGCCGCCTGGTACCTGCAATTTGAAATATTAAAAGTGAAAATAATCTTTCATCGTCCATCAGTATTTACTACACTCAAGACAAATTTTATCACATTTCACTGACAGGTACAGAAAACATGAGATGATGTAACTCACGAAGGAAGCCTCTTCTACCATAATAATTTTTTAATACAAATGTAATAGAAATGTAATTTGAATGTCAGTGCATTTATGTAAAATTTAACAATTTTCTTAAAAAATATCTTTGTGAGTCGTAAAATGTGTTGACCTAAAAATATCAATGTCTTTGTGTAGAATGGGAAACTGCTTGAAGCTAAGGACACAGCTTCCACCGAAATGTCGTTGCTTCTAATTTGTTTCCTGACAACCTTAACAGAAATTCCCCCAATCGGAATTCAATGCACGATTATTATTATTATTATTATTATTATTTAGTGTTCTGTCTGACGACGCACGATTGCCTCACCATATTTGAGAACAGTTCCCACGTGATCTTTCTTTCACTCATGCACGTAGAACACCGGCCAACGCGCTATTATAACGTAAAACATTTTATCACATCAAAGTGGAGGGAGAAGTTATGACTATTTTAAAAGGCTGTCAAATGAGTTGTGTTCTGGCTAGCGACGTTTGGTACATTTCATTAAGCCATTAGCTTAGGTCAGAAAAATAAATTTAATCACAAGCTTTCTTTGGAGAGATAAGCGCGTCTTGTTTGAGACACGCGCCCATGACAATATTTCCCTCTTTTAGCAAAATATTTCCAAAAAATATTTTGTCCCAACAAAAATATATCCGGAGAGGTTCTGCTACACGTAAGACAGACACAAACCAAAAATTAAATGAATTTCCGTGGGATTTCTGGCTCTTGCACAAACAAGTATGAAGAAATTTCCCTTCTGGGAAGTTTTTGGAGCTCCTTACTCACTCCGTCAACAGATTTCAGGAGACTGCGTGGTCAAACACGCGAAGAGACAGCCATTTTGAAATAAACTTCCATCAGGAATGGAAACATGGGATTCATAGGCATCGTTAAACCTGAAACTGGCCTAGCACTTTGTAGAAAAGGTTTGGGAAAAGGTTTTCAGAAAACATAACCCAAGTTGTGTCCCACTGGTCAATATATGGCAAAGTCTTTAGAAATAAATGCTTTTGTTCTACAATCGTAATGGCATGTATCACATAATATGGATATTTTATTTTGCCAACTGAAGACTTTTACGGAATCGCACGAACTTCATAGATGTATTAATACACGTGTAGCTCCTGCACCATAAGAATTATCTTTGAAGATGTAACCGAACTGACCATAAGCCACTTTTAAAGTTATACTTTATCAAAATTTTGAATATTGATTGTTAGTTCTCCCATTTCGTGAAATGCAGAAAACAGTGACAGTCATACAGAATCTCTGGTTTTGTATCCCTCGACAAAGCACAGTACATGAGATAACGCAAATAGTTAAGTTCATGAAAGTAATTCACTTACATCGCTCTCAGCAAATCCATGAATTTATGAAGTACAAATAGAAGGTTCTAAATGGTTCTTCTCTGCACTTGAGAACCCAGTGCTGAAACTTCCTTCTCGTATAAAATATTGTGTATCGTGCCAGAACTCAGTGTAACTCTTCAGTTAAACAGTTAATTCACCCCTAACTCTCTCCTGTCGTACTGAGTTTCTGAAACTTGTACGTCACCTATTAATCTGAACAGAACACACAATTTCAGAAACTGCACATTCCATCCCTACGTAAAAAAGTGGGGAGAGTCTACTTAGCTGGGTTCAGTAGAAAGAGGTACATCAGTCACTAAAGATTAGTCTGAACAGGATCAGGAGAATGTAAAAAATTTGATGTAAGATTTGAGGTTTTCACAGTGGAGAGGCTGAAGATTTCTGTCTTCTGGGTTGTTGTGCTGGCCATATTTTGAAGTTGCTTACTGTTAAACCATTTACCTAGTATTAAATTCCTATAGTACAGGAGTTTGAAACCACTATTATTCTAAGACAAAGACTAAATATTATGAGATGAGGGTCTCAGGCCTGGGATCATATTTGGTCCCCTCTTATCAATTCTCAGGCTGCGGGGATATGGAAACGTGAAATTTGTACTAAATTGGGGCTACTAAAGTTTTTTCAAACAAAAATCAACTTTTAAGTTTTAATTTCTGTTGCGATTTTCCAGTGCATTTCTCCAATGCTTATCATTAAGACGCGTTCTAGGTATTGACTAGAAGTCCCTCATTCAGCTTTTCCTGTCATATACTGATGACATCAACAAAGTATGACGATGAGAGCAAGATATATCGGCGGGCCTCAGGTTGTGAATTTCTGTTTTAATGAATCTCGTCTGTCTCTCCAGCCAGTTAGAACGATGTTTCATTTGTGTCATGGTCCTGCGTTCTTGGCACATTCAATTCCAGTGCTAATTATCCAGAAGCTTTTTACATTTCTTAGAACATTGGAGTAGCGGTAAACAATTTATTTTCATCTCAGCCCAAATGTGAACATTCAAATTTCAAAGACAGCAGTTAAATTTATATGCCAACCTAAAACTGACATCTTGTTTTTTATGAACCTACAGGAGAAAAAATTAAGCTTAATTTGCTTCCCCTGTGTCATAGTGGGAATGGAGGGGCATAATGAGACTGAACTGTACAAAAAAATAATATGCTTTTTTTGATTCATGCGTGGTTGTAAGGGTAAATAAAACAATCGAAAATAAGATCCGTTTGAACTCAGAATTGGGTCAAAATTATCGTCGATTTACCTGATTTTTGAAATACATACGGCCTACATTAAAAATAATTTAACCAATCGCTTTGCCTGTTGTCTCCTGTCCCGAGGTTTTTAACGTAAACTACAAATGTTTGACGACAAAGTGATAAGGAAATATTCTGGTCTGTGATGAAATAGTGAAAATTGTTGATTCTTATTTCAGAATGGTGTTGGGCTTTGTCTGTTATTAGTCGGGGAGGGGGAGAATGATACGAAGACGTCAGCACAGTCAAGTCGTTATCCATTTTGTAAAGCGCGTTTATTGATAAATCTGAACGTACGTGTCACTTCCCGGCTCCAGGTTGGAACTGCGTGACTCACCGCCAAAAACTTCGTGGATTTCCCGATACGAGTCAAGCATCACTCCATAAAACAATAAAAACTTACATGCAGTGACAGTTCTTGCCTGGAGCTGGTAAGTGACATTATGTTCAGCTTTTATCAGTGAACAACAAATGTACTTCAGACTATGTTCAACATACCAGTAAGATGTAAGAAGATAACTGTCTTCTGTGTTGTATCGCCGTGTAGTCTGGTAGAACTTTACTATTGCGATCGCCCTGACGATAAGGCAGCAAGGACGTGTGAAACGTTTGTGAACTTCTAACATACTGCAGCAATTGTTTACTCTAAAGGAAAACAAGTAAATATTTCTCAAACAACAACATTAGAGGAAGAATTGTCCCCCTACAAAACAAATATTAAAACTCTGAAACTATTGATTCTACTGAGCTTTGTTCCACAGATATAAAATAATATAAAACAAACCCTGGATATCTAAAAACTAATGGAAATTTTATTTTAAACACATTCCACACTATTACAATCTTACTAATGCCCACTCTTGTCACTCAACACTTCTCTAGAACAGTCTGTAAGAACTGTGATTCAATACAGTGTGTCCATAAGTCTTTGGCCATAGGAGAACTATAAATAATAATAATAAAAATAATGACAATGTTGTTGCAAATAATGTGTTTTCAATTTTAAGTGTTGGCATCTTTTACCAATGACAAGCCATTATGGTGCAACACTCTTTATATCATCAATAATAAAGTTACGGAAATGTTGCTACATTGACATGACACTTCACCACTGAGTTCATTCATTTGTATTTCCTGTAATATCCATGTCTCCTTCACTACAGCATTTCCCTACTCTGGGAAGACATTCCCCTTTTACTGTCATGTCAATGTGGCAACACTGTCATAACTTTCTACTATCGATAATGCAGAGTGTAGCACAGTAACGGCTCGCCCTAGGTAAAAAATTGCAGCATTTCAGATTGGAAACACAAGATTTACGACAATTCTTCGTCTTTACATTTTCCATATTCAGCCAAATAACATAGCTCTCCTGTGGTGTTGAACTTATGGGACAACCAGTAAGCATATGTACATAAAACCTTTCTTCTTAGAAATATGGGTAGCAGTTTTACGTAAAAAAGGATTGCTGAAATACAAATCCCACTTAAAACTGCAGACTTTCATGTAAAACTGTAATCTATTATACATAACAAATAAAATTTATGAGCCTCGAAAGAAATTTCAACAAATTCATTCTGTTTATAAAGAAACTGACCTAAACATTTGTTAAGATGACCTTAAGAAGCAAAACTGGACAAAATGTTCTTACACTTCAGACCAATACGGAAACACGACAGCAAATATAGTAGACTAACATTTCAAATATAAATTGGTGAGAGAAGATGAGGATTAAAAACACAAGGGTGATCAATAAACATGTCAATTTATGAATATGCACTGTTTCCAATGCTCCTTGCAGTAACTGCAAGTCATTGCCAAGGACTAACAGCAACTACCACTAAAATTATTCACACAGCCGTGCAACTGTTTCTAACATAAAATGTTATGTGCTTATATGATTCAATTTTCTTTTGAACATATTCTTCAGTATGAACTTGGTTCAACTAATAAGTGCCAGAGAAAATTATATCATAAATTTCCTGGAATCACAGTTCCAAGCACAACAGACATCCACAAACTTACTGTGTTAGGTCTAATGGGCCACTTCTGGACAAGAAACTTTCTTAAAAATGCCATTTGTTTAAGGTTGGAACACGTAATATTGGTATCACAGTATTTTTTCCAATATTTTAAATTATAAAATGACACAAAGTGACTGACTAGACACATAATTTAAACAATGCAGAGAATGTTTCAACATTTTGGTAGTTATAAAAATCGTTAGAAAAACTTGTACTCTGCTTCTGGAATTTCTCAGGTTATGTTCATGATTCACAGTCAAATTTTATCATTATCTAAGAAGTATTATTGCAATGAAAGTATCACAAATAATTTCTTAACTAAGTTACTCTGAGTTATTATTACTTAGAATTTACAAATTAAATTATTTAATTTATTATTAGCCCTTTTACATGCAACTCAGACACAATTTTCACTAGCAAATCAATTTACTCTCATGCCAAATATTTGGAACATTTTCAAAAATAATATATTATTCTGCACATTTCACCTTCTATTCAGGCAAACCATTTAACAATTCTTGTTGTATGATTTGCTGATAGAACAGGCATTAACATCTATCTTGGTATTGTTTCTCTAGAAATGTTTAATCCGCATAATTATCATACTCTTATTAGGCATGCTTTAACTGTGTATTTCTGGAGCGTCTCTTACTAGAAATGTAAAGCAACTGAACGAGCAGAACGACAAAATTTCTTGGCCTACAAACTGATGATAACGTTCTCAAAAAAAGAAGTTGAATAAGTTCAGCACGCTTTGTCATCAGGACAATTGCATCATTCATGATTATAGGTGCTTCAAAATTTCTTTACTTATTTCAAAACTGACCCGTTAATATGAACTGGGCCCCTCCAGTGTAAGTTCATGTATTTATTCAGACAACAAAAACTGATGACACTAGATCACGGTTATAAAGCTAGAATTTCCGATCTGTCAGGAGCACATTTGACTTTAACAAAAGTGACAGAGAGAGAGAAAATTGTACAGTATTTTGTTATGTGTAAATGATTTAAGTAAGGGCAGGTGCAATAAATTTCATTTCAAGCACAGAGAATAGTTACTTTCCCGTGTTTACCGAATTTCAACCTTTGTAAATCTGTCTCTTGTGACTCGTAATTTTACTTTTTTGATTCATGTAACTTAATTATCTTCCTCCTCACTTCTTCAGCCTTTTCTATGAAGGCAGCTCGCTGCTCAGCATGCTCTGCTTTCTGAAAGAACAGATTATAAACTGCTTAGTCAAAAACAGAAGCACTTCACAGTCCCAATGAACACTACAAAGAATTTGCTTATTCTCTTTTAACATTTAGACCAAAGTTATAGATGTACTTGCCGCCAGACTCTGTTAGCAGCAGAAATTCATGCTCTGGTGCTGAATTCCTTGCATGTGATAAAAAGTACATACACTTGATTGCAGTCTGTAAAACAGTTCAACTTTGCAACTGCTTCAAATTTGCCATGCAGGAAGTAAACAAAGTATACAAACCATAATATTTTTGGTCCTTTCAAGGGACAAATCGAAATGATTATAGACTGTCAAGTCGGCATCTTTCTTCCCAATCTTGACGAACAAGCAAGAGGAAGAATGTGTCTTGTGTTCATTCCTAGAAAGAGCAAGAAACGTTAGGAAATATTGCATTGTGAATTATACCTATTTTAACTTAAATTTTTGCCATAAAATCCATACTTTAAATATGGCTTCATTCTTTTCTGAGATCCTGTTTCACTTATGAAGGGTATCAGATAAGAGAATGACAGTTCTACTAGTATAGCTGTTGCTGACTACATTCTTACGGCTGTCTTCAATGTCACCAAAACATGGAAGGGCACGTGGCTTAAGTGATATTAGTACTTTGGTTGAGACAATTCAGCTCAAGAAGGAAACAACTGCCAGACATTTGCAGAAAAAGTTAGAGTTGGGCAGTGGCAGTGCCATACTGCAACTGGAGTCTCCCTCTCCCTCAAAGTGGTCATGAACTGATGTTGCGGCCTATGGCTGCCACTGAACTGAACTGATTTAATTAAAAATGTACATTTTGTGATCTTCTGATTTTTAAAAGTATTTGTTTGTGCAACAACATGAAAACAAAAAACTGGCATCCAGCTGTACCATAACAAATGTTCTGAAACATCACCAGCATTCCCTTTTCACCAAGTTTTCAAAATAAAATTCCACATACCAGGGATCATCATCTTGTTTCCAGCCATCCAGCTTCTTTAGGCACACTTGACATTGAACTAGGTCAGGTTCATCCTTCGAGCCGCAGAAAATATAACCTGCCTCAGCCATCTAAAAGCAGGCAATAGATTATACAACGTAGCACACCTCCAAACCATTGCTACACTTGTTTGTATATTTATTCAGGCCGGAATTTATATGTTTACAACGAAATATATTTATATTGTACCTTCCGGGCATTGCATGAAGTATCTTCGTTAAATGGCCAACTTTTGAACGTTCCCAGGCGTTCATCTTCAAGCATGTATGTCGCCAAGTCAGGCACCTCCATCTGTAACATTATATGAAGGAAAAGGAAAACGTGGATTCTATATTAAGAACAAGGCAGAATTACTTACAGGAGCATTAACTGACCATGTTCGTTATATGAATAGTTTCAATTGCCCTATTAATTTCTTGTTCGTTTTGGAAATCCAATGACGTTACGGAAGCTACCATATAGGTTATAATTTTCTTGTCGGAGGTATCTTGTAAGCCTCTGGCACTGAGAATTTTAAATAACACTCCACCACTATTTTATTAAAATATACGTCGGTATTGAAGTTATAATACAATTGAGAATCAGTAATTAATTGGTTTATGTATCCGCTGAGTTTCGGTTAAGTTAAAACAAAACAACTCTCCCGGTACACATTATTACCAACATCGCAACACTAGCGTGTGAGATTTTTTCCCAAGATATATGTAAAATAAGAAAAGCTCTTTACCATAGAAAATAATATGGTTAAGAGGGGACACTTATGTGTAATTCTACAGTTATAACGTAGTAATAGCTATGAATCATCTAAATAGTCAGTGATTAAAACAATACTCCCTATTTAGATTTCATGAATTGGCGTCATTGAAATAGTTCGTGAATTCAACTGTTCCGTTGCTATGGCTGCAAAAGATGTTTGAAATTGTTTACATATGTACTATGGGGTATAATTACTTTAATTCCCAACTGATTGTTTTATTATATTGCAGACATATTTAATTTGTTGCCGAAGATTTAAATATTAAGGAATTATGGTGGACGAAGACGTTAATGATTTAGATCTAATGTTAATGATTTATATCTAATTTCTATAATACGTTTTGACAGTAATGTAATTACTGTAACTGAGGAATGCCATAGAAAGTGGGGGAATTTTGTATGAGAGATGAGAGAATTGTTTAAGGGAGAGTATTAACACTTTACTGCTTATGAATGAGACCTGTGTGGCCAGCGTAAGAAGCAGAATGTACTGAAAAATAAAACATGTTGCATGTTTGTGCCTTCTCTTAACACTTTATACCTCATGTCTTGTAATGCCACGTGAACTTGTGGGTGGATACCAGTGTTTCAGAGGAACATGCTACCTCAATCTTCAGGACCTAAGAACGTTGATGTCCACCTTCAAGTTCATGTGGTGCTGATTTTCCTCCATTTTCACTCTAGGCTACTCATTGGTCTGGCACCTGTCATCCTGTGGAGCTTTGAGACTATATTTTCCTCCATTTTCACTCATTGGTCTGGCACCTGTCATCCTGTGGAGCTTTGAGACTATTCAGCTTGTATCTAAATATGACATCCACAAGGTTCATGTGGAGTCAGTTGCCTTTACTTGTGACAGTGAATGTCTGATATCTTTGGTAGTTACCTTTACCTGTGACAGTGAATGTCTGATATCTTTGGGTGGTCTTGATGGCAGTAACATCATTGTGTTGAATATTGAAAAAGAAGAAGTGTTGTGTGGTAATTACCAATCAATGATACCATCATCAACATAATGAATTCAGGTATATAATTGATATTTCTTTAATTAAGAGAGTGGTCCCAAGTTGCAAATTCTTTTAAAATATAACTAGTCATTCCCCTGTTGCTTCCTTATTCCGCTCAGACTGTACACCTCGAATCCGTCATCAACATTACAAGTTCCTTTGTCATGATTTGTTTGCGGCTGGGCAAACCATTCTAAAGAAAAGAGATTTAATTGTGTTGGTTTGTCTGTGGCTGGGTGAACCATTCTAAAGAAAAGAGCTTTAATTGTGTTTGTTCATTAACTCCGTCTTAATGATATCATGAGGCAACGTTTTCCTTAAAATATTTGTTCAGGAAGCGTATGGTGGCGGCATCCTTAGTTTTGGTGGCAGTGAAACAAACCACGGAGACTGAAGCGAATAAAGAAGCGGAAGATATCTGAAAGTCTGATCTACAGAACTTTAACTTACAAATAAGGTTATGTTCATATATTTTCTTGCATTACAGGAACAAAGTTAAAAGAAGTGATAATTTGTTAGAGATAAAGGAACACAACCCAAGTTACAAGACGACCAAATATGATATTAAACACTGAATATAATAAAATCAAATCAGAACAAGTACTGAAAACTTTCAAGTATTTGTAATTTACTCATAATCTTTTAATATGTTATATATATGCTTCCTTTAAAATATTTGTCCAGGAAGCGTATGGTGGCGGCATCCTTAGTCTTGGTGGCAGTGAAACAAACCAACCCATCCTCTTTTAAAATAAATATTTAAAGAGAGAAATTACCTTTCATATCATCCCGGAGACTGAAGCGAATAAAGAAGCGGAAGATATCTGAAAGTCTGATCTACAGAACTTTAACTTACAAATAAGGTTATGTTCATATATTTTCTTGCATTACAGGAACAAAGTTAAAAGAAGTGATAATTTGTCCAGTTTCTTACACTAGTGTTTCGATATTGTATCGGAACCCACGTTCCACTGTTTTCATCCCTCCAGTAGTGGAGTGGCCACTTATCACAGAACACTGTCAGATCTGGGAATGGATGGTCTTGGATGTACTTCAATGTTGCCCGCACCTGTCAGCATAATACAAGCTATTAATCTTTATGGTCTGTGTGTTATGTCTTACATACTTGATCCAACTAACCTCATATTACAATAGCCTATCACTCAAATATTAACCTTTGGAGTTCAAGTCTGGCTGGCAGCAAATCCCTTATTACAATAGAATAAAGGTTAATTCCTACCTTATCAAATTATTAGAATGGGGTAATCAGTGATTTCTGTATGAATGAAACCTACGAAGCTTGAGCATCTGAAATTAGAGATACTGAATAGTAACTGATTAAATTATCTGTGGTGCTTATTTCTTCCTGCCACCTCTTTCCTTCAGTTGCAAATTGCTGACTGTACCAGGCACGATATTATAATATGCCAAGGAATTGGAATCTTTTAAAAAACAAACCCTACAACATAGAAATGCACAAAAAACTTAATTATTACTGTAGACACTTTCTTCTCTGGACAAAGCTGAATTTAGGATAATGGAATTCAGTCATCATAAGAATTATGATATATTACACTCTGCTCAGACATCAGTGCAGGTGGCCATTACTAACTCAGCATGTTAGAGGCTGACAGAATATATTCACTTTACACCACTTGCACTACATAAATTATATAAGACCTGATGACGGAGGCAGTATGACCTCTGAAAGGTTGGTAAACATCGACCAGACTACACAGCGCAACAACCCAGAAGACAGAAATCTTCTTACTCTGATGATGGAGGCAGTATGACCTC